GAGCCTTTAGCGTGTTAGGGCCGCGGCTGCCGCCCCTAAAACGCTAATCAGAGCCCTCGTCTCCCGGCTCACCCCCAAACTCACACATTAATTAATCGCGGTTACAGGGCTTTTTCCCTCGCGCCGTTTTGGCTTAGGTGCGAGGTTTTTGCCCTTTGCGTTAGGCGTCGGGTTTTTTATTATTTAGGACTTTTTCTCCCGACCATTACACCCCACAACAAGGCCCCGCCGGGGGGCTGGAGCCTAGAAGGTCTTATACCTTCTGTCAGTGCGATGAAAGCTTCCCGGCTCCATTACACTGACACCAGCTCACAAGTGTTCATGTCTATTATGTATTGTTAATAAAAGTCATTCCCACTGTTGTGTTTGCGACTCCAGACATCTCGGCTCTTTGGCTATACACGTAAGTACCTCCCTTAGCTTTGATTCCACATTAAGATAGGATCCCACGTTGTTTTTGCTACCGGGTTCACATAAACCGGTTTAACGTAAGACTTGCTGCCCGGCGAAAATTGCCGGAGTAACTGCCCCCTGCTCGGGTATGGCACTAGGCCGACCGAGCAAAAAAAAAAAAAAAAAAAAAAAAAAAACTCAGGAAACTGGTATTTTAGTAACATGCAAAGTAACACAAACATGTTCAATGTTCATGGAAAGGATTGAAATGAAAATTGGAAAATTGAAGCTTGAACTTTGTCAAGAAGAAGGTCGCAAACTGCAAAGAATATCAACAAGGCCTTATTTATCATTTTTAAAAGATTATAGAATGGCATATTATAGAATGCTCCCTAATAAGCAAAAGCAAGATATTGATGCTTGATTATTGATGCTGCCCACAATGTCTTGGGCACATGGATGATGGAAGTGAGCTCAACTTCAATAATCAGACCTAAGAATCACAATGGATATAGCCATGAGCCAGACTGCAAAGTATGGCAATTTTGTCCAGATGTCAGTGCAGACTCCTTCGTCTGGTGCGGATTTAAGTGTAGTGCGGTGTGGATTTGCTTTGGTGTGGTGCAGATTTAGTGTAGCGGGGTGCGAAGTGTTCTCTCAGCCCCCTTTGGTGTGAATTTTCTGGCTCAGTTTGCAGGGTTTGTGTAAATATTGAACTTAGGCCAGTGCTCCTTGGCGACCTGCGAGCCATACTCTGCAGTACTGGCCTGGGCCCATGAGCAAAGTAACATAATATAGTCTGTTCAAGATTCAATATAATAAGTCTGCAAAACACATTCCAGCAATTGTAATTGAAGCAGAATGAATTGTAGTGACCTGCATTTGTATTTTTGTTGTGTCTGTGAAAAATAATAAATATACCTACTTATTGGAAAAATCGTGGCCTTTCAGCACATTTGGCAGAGTTGTGTGACTCTGATGTAGTGGCTCATGTGGAACGCAACAAGCTGCGGAACAAGCTTGAATAGCATTTTGCCTCAGGGCTATCTGCCAGAAACATTTCATCTGCATGAATTTATCTACAGGCAAGTCTGACAAATTTGTGGATTAACTGGGGACCTTGTAAGCCTGCATATTAAATTCTAGCCTACCAGCTCAGCCCTATCCTCAGTTTCAGCATTCAGCATGATAACAGTTCAGATCAAGTTCTGATTGTCACCACTGAGACACCAATGGAGTCCTCTGAAATTTTGCCTTTTAATTAAATTATTTGTAAGAGTTTCAAGCTATATTTAGACCAAACATTTCACTCTCAAAGATCTGCGACCTACCCCACTCGTCCAGTAGGATGCCTGGCGCGCAAGCCGCAAACAGTCCAGCAGTGAGCTGCCAGCCGGCACGCAAGGCAGCAGCAGGCAGCGGCAGCAACGGCAACTGGTGAACACGTCTTGGACTGCAGCCACGACATAATCTAGGCTAGCGTCTATTCAATTTGTCCATGTACAAGTCCCACAGCTCCTGCCCGAGGTGCCCGAGGTTGCGCAAGTCAGGGAACTGACCAACCTCCAGCCCAGGCATGGTTCACTGACTCAAGATATTTCAACTGACCAGTCAGAGTTCATGTTTTGCAACTTTTATCCAAGTTATTTGTAATTGTAATATTCTAAACTGAATTTTAGTCATGACTTCATTTTTCAAGAGCTACAAAGAACACACCTTCCCTGTGCAGCACGTCTATTGTCCTAACATTAGTCACATAGTTGCAAGAAGCGACTTGAATGCGGAACCTGCCTGTTTTGAAGCCCTGTTGTCTGTTGGGTGACACTGCACAGAGGTAAGGATGGGGTGTGATTTTGCTGCTGTTTGTCAGGTTCAATATGTGTGTCAATGATCACAAAGTACTCTAAAGGTTTAAAAAATGCACAGCATGGCCTAACAAAGCACATTACCTAGGTTTTGACAAGCAGCGCAGTGACTGTGGTACAAAGGCCCAGTCCTGGTCCCATGCTCATGTTAGTAGCTGGATCTGCTCCCAGGAAACAAAGGTAAAACACTATTGACAGCTTTAAGATGAAATCTGCAGGAAAACTAAGCCATCTATAAAATCTAACATAAGCTTAAAAGCGCAACAGAGCATTTCTGATTCAACGTGCAGCACTTCCGCTTTCATCCGCCATCAGCAACTCAGTTCAAAGAATGATGCATTACATCACTAAAATTTATTTCAAAATACCTCTGCATGGTGTTTACACAAACAACAGTTCTTTACTAGACATGGTCGACCTCAGGCCACCCACACTTCAGCAAACAGGGTATTATCAATGTTTAACGGCTCAAGGTTAGTCGTCTTGGATGTTCAGAAATAAAAAGGTGAACATTCATTGTCTCTTCCTTATTTGTCACCATCAATAGATTGTGGACTCCTCAGAGCATGTCTTGATTATGGAGTTGAAACAGCAGTGAGCAAATCATTTATGATTTTGATACTATGATTAATTTCAGTGAGTTGCACACTTGAACTTGACACCTGCCCTGCCATTGATAAGTTCATGGCTCTTGCATTCTTCAGTCACATGTAGGACGGCCTCTTAAATATTTAAATACAAAAATAAAAATACTGCTAGAATTAGAAGACTATTAGAATTAGTTTGGCATATCAATTTAATTCTCCACCTCGTGGCGCCGGGCGCTGTTCCAAGAGGCGTTGTTATTTTTCAAGGTTTCAATAAAAAACAAGTCGACAGATACAGAAACTTCGGAAAAGGCGGAAACGTCACAGGTTTTAAGTGCCAATACCAATACATTGTGGCACTTATTTGCACAGATGTCAAAATCAAACACGAATTTATTTGCGATGAAGTAATTGCTGGAGAAACGGTTTTCACGACTCTGATTTTCAAAGAACGCCCATCAAGATGGCTATCTCAACTCAATTCTAATGTTAAGGTGGGACAGTCCCTTTAACCCGCGCCATGCTGGGGAGGGGGCGTTTTACGCCCCCCCCCCTTAGGTTTTTTTGCAAATATCTCCAAAACGGCGTCGCGCAGCGCCACCGTTTTTGGTACACCTGTTCATACATCTTTTCCACACATCTTGTGAAAATTTCAGACCCGGGTCGTTCAAGGTCAGGTCACGTCAAGTGACCTTACCTCAGAAAAAGTTTAAAGGCTCGCTATAGCTACACCGACTGAACGATCACTTTTCAAACTTTCAGAGATTAATAAGAACAAAAACATGTATAAAATGTTTATCTCGGACTTTTGATTTCTATGACCTAAGGTCAGGTCAATTTTGCAACCTCTCCATGAAAGTCAATTGGAAAAAATTGAAATTCACCTCTTTTGAACGAATGTGGTTCAAAACCCTCTCAAACATCGGTTCACAGGTAAACACAACACAATGAAAAAATGCACCTGTGACCCTTCTGTGTGCCTCTGAGGTCATCTCAGGTCATGAACGGTCACCAACAGTTCTTTAGCTATAACTTTTGATAGAGACGTGCTAGAGCGGTGAAAACACGTCAGATGTGTTCAGTTCGACGATACAGATCGACTGATATACAGCATGACCGTTTCCGGTCAGGTCATGACCTTGACCTGAGGTCAAATTTTCAAAATATCCTTTCAAGGTCAACGAATAGTTCATTCGACGCGTTTCGACGAGAGGAAGACGATGCTGGCAAAATAAATGTCGTCACTGTCTTGAGTCAAAAGTTATTGCAAAAAATGTTTTTAACTAAAACTGCAATTTTTGGAGTTTTTGCCCTCTGGAGGCTAGTTACAGTCAGTCACTGGAGGCAGTCATGCATGTCCACAAGTAGGGGCTGCACGCACTAGACATCGAATTGCAAAGGTGATTTGTGGAGAAAAAAATCCAGAACGTATGTCAGCGTTCGGTCGCCTCTGACTGCAGTCGCTGCTGGTATGACAATGAGTTGGGATCTCATGGTGGATCTCTGGTCTTTAATGTTCAAGTCTTCCCTTGATCCCAATTTAGGCAACGAGTCGCAGCGTGAATCCTACATACGTGCGGTTTGAGATTCTAAGCACGGCCACCCCGGTCGACCACAGGCTGCAGCCCACAGGTCACTTTGGATCAGTGAGTAAGCCTGTATTTTTTATTTTTTGTGCAAAGAATATAGATTGTGCCTATCGATCAACGTATATTTACCGCTTCGAATTCGCATGGATGCGTATTTTGAGAATAAAATGCCTGTAGCCTGAGCTCACTTCCTATATCATGCTTAAAAGCTATCAAGATCAAGGTTTTTATAAAAAAAAACACCGGGCTGCAAATTGCATTAATTGGATTTTATGAAAAATCGGCGAAAGCTGGTTCTTATACTCGTATTTTGCAACACCTAATAAATCATACATGAACATGACGTTACATTTTAGACTGACGCCCCTGTCACTAGCTGACAATGGCGCCCCTCTCAAGGGAAAAAGTCGCCCCCTCGAGCACCATGGCCCCCCCTTTCGCTGATCTCTGGCTACGCCACTGTATGTATGTATGCATAAATGTGTACCGCAGTACCCCCACACCTTGTATTCCCATCCATAGTCCGATTTCGCTCTCAGCTGCAATCATTCACCCAATCAACCTACCTTGTAAGCACTGTCCCTGCACTCCTCTGTGAAGTAGTTGCCACGGTCGACTGCTCGGAACACATGTTCCACACCACCAGTGGTGATGCAGTCCCGTTCCACCAGGTTGTCCACCAGGTCATCGTTGTCCTCGCCCGTGCTGACCGTGCTCCCCATCCTGGTTCAGTTGGTCTTCCTCTCGGGCAGTATCTGCTCAGGCAATGCTGTCACTTGACTGTGCAGACTGCAGAGTGCACACCCTGAAAGAGTGGGGATAGAATGTTGATGTAAGTTGTGTAGCAATAAGGTAAGGGAAAGGAAAATGTCATGCAGCCGATCTAGCTAGAAAATAATTGGACATTAACAGTAATGGATACCCATAAACTGGATAGCATAGAAGAAAACAAAAGAAATGCACTCCCACACAGTATACCTACAAACTTGAAATAATGGCTCGATTTTTTGGACGACGGTGAAAACAGGGCGCCTGGGGCGTTTTGATCAAGGTTCGTGAAATTCACACATCAACATGACATTTAGCAGCTTGAAGGCCCTTGGAGGGGGGAGAAGCTCCAAATTTCACATGACTAATATGCCCTCCGCCGCCCTGTTTTCACCGGCGTCCGATTTTTTCTCTCCGCTACCCAACCTTAACTATAATCAGCACGGGTCAAGCTAAGACAAGTTTTAGTAAGAACATAAACCAGGGATGCTTAAGTCGAGCACTGCAAAACGAGCAATAATGTCACATTTGGCACACATGACATACTAATACCCTAATGACCCTAATCATGAATAAACAACAAGCAAATAAACAAACCCTTTCAGAACAGCCTCCATATTTCATAACACTCTTCATATTTTCGGCCTTTTAACGGTAACGGTATATTTACAATTCACATACACTGTGCAGAAAAGCTTCAAATGCCCCCTTCAATTCTTACCAACTTTATTCCAGCAACAGCCCCCGACGTGTGCGGGACGTCGGAGGGGAAGGAGCTCTCGAGTTTAGCTGCGATCTCTCGCGCGTTACTGAGGGTTTTGGAGTTTTGGTTCATTGGTTTATATTTTCCTTTTCGGTTGCAAGGCAAGCTCTTTGTGGTTAGAGGTGATGAAGTGATGGATCGAAGGCGGCCCGTCAAGCGGGTGCGACCTGACGAGTTTTTCTTTGGCGGAGGAGAGTCTAACAACACAGGCTCTTTCTTGAAGGTAAAGTTGTTATCTGATGTTTCATTTAAATCAAAGGGATGGCCCTGGGTTCAGCTCGGAATCCGAGGGATACTGGGACCTGATGATAGGTTGGCTAAAGCTAGCCTCTTGGCTGATGGTGGGCTGTTGATGAGAACAAAAAATGAGTCTCAGACCTCAAAGATTCTGAAAGTTCAAATGTTTGCAGGTGAGGAGTGTCAGGTGATCAGGGATGAACGGCTCAACACCTCCCGGGGTATCGTGCGGGCCCATGACCTGATCGAACTGTCTGAGGAGGAAGTAGCAGGGTGGTTGAAAGAGTTTGGTGTCACAAAGGTCAAAAGGTTCACAAGGAAGGTCAATGGGCGCATTGAAAGGACAGCAACACTCCTTCTAACATTTGATACCCCCACCTGCCCTTCTAGGATTTCTCTGGACTATGTCACTAGATAGGCATGCGCGCCATTTCGATATTCTGTATTCGGAATTCAGTGAATGTTGGACATATCTAGTCCTGCGGACGAGACAGAAACAATGTTACAGAGGGAAGGCACTGCATACATGTCTATCTCCCCCCAGTCTTTGCCGGCCGGGAACAAAGACTTACATAGATTGGCATAGATTGAAGGGTGCCGTAACGAAACGACGCCGAAAGGCCAAACGACGGGTCGCATTCACGGGAGCGCGAACAAACAAATAGCCCAGGGGGCAACAAAACACAGCTTCTAGGCAACCAGAACGAGTGGACCGGCTGGAAAACGAGCCGGGACAACGATCAAACACTAAACGCGGAACATATCCGAACATCGCAAACAACTGCCGAGTTTGACAATGATAGGGAGTCAGTGGCACAGTCAGCGCGTGAAATTGGGGTCGCGATAGCGGATCGGCATTTGGCGCGGGCGATCACTGCGACGGGGACGGTGGGGTTCAGTATCTCTCAGCGGCTGCGAGCCTGGCGCGGCAGGGGGCGGCATGGCCGGCGGCGACGGCGTGGCATGACCGGGCGACAACGCATGCGGGGACACGCGATGTGGTGGTGAAGTCGACATGGACGGTGACGGCGTCACACACTGTGGGGACACAAGGGGCGGCGACGCATCTCGCTCGCGCGGGGATAACACCACAGGCGGCGATGGCGCGGGTGGACGCGGTGTCGGGGGCCTGCCACGGGGCGCCCGCGGCGGCGTCGCCGGCATCTGGCCGACCACTGGAGTCGGAGAGCCGGGGGGTTGCGCCGCAGGTGGAGAAGTGGGTGGCGTCAGTCCAGAGTTCGCGTGCGACTGTGACACGCGTGTTGGATGTCGGCGGAAGTCGTCGAGCAGTTCGTCCATTCGGGTGTGCTGACGACGAGCCGGAACAACCGGAGTGTATTTGCGCAGGAACTGCCTGTTGCGCAATGTCATTCGGCCGCTGCCGTCGACCCGGACCATGTACTGGTTATGTTGTCGCACCTCCACGACGCGGCCAGTTTTGTCCCACTTCCTGGGATATCTTCCGATTTGGTTTTGGAGGCGGACGGCATCACCGACGGTCAGTGGAGGTAGTCGCCTCGTATGTGCGGACCAGCGTTCGTGGTCCCGCATGTGGCGGTTCCGGAGTGCCTCCTCACGAGCACTCAGGGTTTCGCGCCACGTGGGATGAGGACGGTACTGACCGGGGGGTATCGGGATGAAGTCTCGCACCGGACGACCGAACACGCATTGGGCCGGCGACAGCCCTGTCGTGGGGTCGGGAGTGTTGCGGTAGTTCAGCATGGCGCGCTGGAAGCGTCGCACGTTCAGTTCCCCGTTGTCACCTGTGTTGCCTTCGATCATGCGTTTGACGGTTTTGACGCCAACCTCAGCGCGACAGTTCGCGTGTGGGAATGCCACAGAGGAGCGGCGGTGACGAACACCGTAGTCGGCCAGAAACGCCTGTGTCTCGTGGGCAGTGAACTCCGGCCCGCCATCGCTCGTCAGCTCCTCAGCGATGCCAAATGTGCTGAAGACGCGGTAGAGACAGTCTCGGAGGCCTGCGCTGCCATCTTGTGCTCTCTCAACGATTGGCCAGTTAGAATAACGATCAACGATGACGAGGTACGTACGGCCGCAGTGTGTAAAGTAGTCCGCGCATAGTTGCTGGAACGGGTACTCTGGGTAACTGATGTCCTCAGGTGGGGCCCATGGCTGCGATGGGGCGTTCCGGTTGCACGTGTGGCATCGTTCACGGGCGCGCCGAATAGCTGACGTGATGCCGGGCCAGTACACGCTTACGGCCGCGCGCGCGAGCATCATGCCGATCCCTTGGTGCGCACCGTGGAGACTCTGGAGCACCTCCTCGCGGAGGCTGGGTGGGATGACGATTCGCTGATCATACAGGATGATGCCGTCGCTGGTGTATAGGCCATCACGGAGCGAATGATACTCTCGGAGCTCCTCAGGCATCTCGTGGCGGTGGGCTGGTAGCCCTCCCTCGATCAGTTCGAGAAGTCGCATCATCGACGGATCGCCTGCCGTTGCGTCCCTCACGCGGTCCCAGGTGACAGACCGGATCGTGGTGATGGCGGCTGCCGCTACCTCGCCAGCATCGTCGACGGTGACGTCGTCGGAGAGGCTTATGCCGATGGGAGCGCCGGTTGGGTACCGGGACGCGATGTCGGGAACGCGGTTCTTGACTCCGGGGAGATAGCTGATGTCGAATCTGAACCGGAGGGTCTTTTCCTTGAGATTACGGAGACGGGCGTTGGGCAGGTCGACCAGTGATCGGTCCCCGAAAATCTTCACGAGGGGTTTGTGGTCAACAACGACCGTGAGGTCGCTGCAGCCGAGCACGAAGAAGCGCGTTTTCTCGAGGGCGTCGGCCACTGCCAGCGCCTCGCCCTCGACCGGGGCGTACCGAGATTCAGCGCCGGATGTAAAGCGGCTTCCCACCAGCGTGGTCTTCCAGCCCTCAGCGCAGCAGAGTGGTGACCGACCGGCGCATGTGCAGTATTTCTGGAGTAACCAGAAACCGATACCAGTACGGGACCAGTCGGTGGCCAGGACGGTTGGGCGATCTGTCTCGAAGATCTGGACACCCTTCGTGACCTCCTCGACGATGGTCCGTTTCGACATGTCGAACAGTGCCTGGAGTTCATCCGTCCACGTGAACTTGCCGGGCTTCAGGAGTTCCCGGAACGGCAGCATGGCATCCGCCATGGCGAATGCGTAGGCGACGTGATTGACGACCCCGAACCACGCGCGGACGTCTGTCAGGTTCCTGGGAGTGGGGAACTCGGTGATGCTCTGAAGGAAGGCATGAGACGGGCGGACTGTGTCAGGCGTGATTTCAAACCCAGCGAATTCCGCTGTCTTCTGGGCGAAGACAAACTTCTCGCTGTTCAGCGTGATGCCGGAACGGCCACACATGTCCAGCCATTCCACAGTGCGCCAGAACACCTCCTCGATGCTGTCTCCCCAGAGAAGGGTGTCGTCGATGCATTTCGTGTAGCAGTCGTGTGACAGGTTTGCCGCCATCACGATCTCGTCATAGCGGCGCGTGTACCCGTCACCGCTGGAGATGTAGCCCTGGGGTGCCGCGCAGTAACGGTATCGGCCCCAAGGGGTCAGGAAAGTGGTGAGGTGTCGATCTTCCTCGTGTAGGGGCACCGAATGGTAGCCATTCCAGGCGTCCAGTATCGTCTTGTAGGTCGACCTCGGCACAGACCGGGCTTGGTGGAAGGGACTTGGGGTATGATGCGTCTCTCTTGCGGCGCAGCGGTTCAGGGGCTGAAGGTCGACGCAACGGCGAGGGCTTCCCGACTTCTTGGAGACGACGACCATCCGGTGGCACCAGGTCACCGGCTCACCAATCGGTACGGGCTCGATGACCCCCAGCTGCACGTCGCGATCCAGGGCGGCCTTGACCTCCGTCTGCCAGTGCAGTGGTACTGGGATAGCCTTGTGGTGGGCCACTGGCTCGGCGTCAGGTCTGAGCATGATGCGCAGGGGTGGACCGTCCATCGGCGTGAGTGGCTGATGTTCACAGGTGTTGAACGTGCTCGCAGAGTAATAGTCGGCCAGCCACTGACGCAGGGCGTCGACGTTGCTCTCCGTTGCCGGCATAGGTAGCTCTGTTGGCTTAGGCGGAGGCGTCTGACGGCGAGGACAGGAACATGCGTTGTACTCGTCGATGCCGATCCCATCCGCGGAGATAGACGCGAGCCCGACAGCGGGGAAAGCGGCGTCGATCATGCCGAGGTCACGACAGGCATCTCGACTGAGGTACATGGTGTCGCAGTTCGGCGTGATGTACACGAACTGTCGAGTCTCCCGCCGAATGCCGTCGCGGTGGCCGGATATACGTAGGATCAACGCTCCGCGGATGTCGATGGGATCGCCGTTTGCTGCGTGCATCCTCAGGGACGTCGGGACGAGGTCAGCCTCCGTGACGCCAAGGCGTCGCATGAGAGAGATGCCCGCCAGACAGCTCTGACAGCCTGTGTCGGCGATGACTTCCTGAGTGATGGTGGCCTGGCTGACCGTGCACTGGAGGCCCAGGGCGCCGTAATCGGCCGGTTGGAGCGAGAGGTCCAGTTTAATCGACGGCTGGGGCTGGCTGGGTTGCTGACACCAGCTCTGGGTGATGTCGTCGTACATGTGGTGCCGCATGGCTGCGGCGGTGCATGAAGCTACCGTGTCGTGCGTTGAGTCTCTGAGGCTACAGAGAGCGTCACTGGGAGCGTCATCATCGCCCTCCGGATGTGTAGTCGCGATACCGGCTGCCTGTCGCTGCAGGCAGGCCTCGGTGAAGTGGCCCCGGCGTCTGCAATGACGGCACTGGCTGCGGTAGGCGGGACAGGATTTAGCGCGAACCGCGACAGAGGCTTTTACGCCATGACCTGTCCGACGACAATATTGGCAGACGTCGGCCGGTCCTGCGACTGAACTCTGTTGACGGCCAGCATCGCCAGCTGATACTCGCCGCTCCTGCTCGCCGATGCTCGCTTTCGCTCGCCGGTACTGGCTGCGGGCGGCGGCCACACCTTGAGACTGACCCAGCGTCTGAGCGGATCGCTTACCAGCCTCTTTTGCTTCGACGAAACGAATGGTCTCTTCCAGGGGGATCGGTGTCTGGCCTTGGGCGAGGAGGTCCAGTTGAATATCCCTGTCCGCTAGCCCCCTGGCGAGCGTATCGCGTGTGACTTCATCCTGGTAGCTGACGACCCGTCCGCATTCGCAGGTGACGTGAAACTTACAGACAGCCGCCTGCCCGCGAAGACGAGCGGCGAACGCCCTGACCGGCTCTTCGTGCTCCTGCGTCATGTTGTGGAGCTGGACGCGAGCCACTGCGAGGTTTTCCTCGCGGACGGCGAGACTTCGCATTGCGGCCAAGACAGTCTGTTCGTCCTTGGATGAGAGGGAGCCCCCCGAGAATCTGGTGAGGTCCCTGCGGAGGCCTTCGTCGCAGCATTCAAGCAGCTGGATGACGCAGTCTGTATCGGTGAGTCCGGTGGCTTTCTTGTACTCCGTCCATCGGCTGGTGAAATACTCCCAGTCCTCGCTGGATCCGGCAGCTGTCACGCGCGGTCTGGTGACCTTTTCGGCAGTAATGCTCACTGTAGGCCGGGTATGGGCCTCGGACTGGTGCATTTGAAGAAGTTGTACGACCACGATAGGTGCGGTATCTGCAGCGACGACGTATTCACAGCCGCTGAATGGGCAGGCTGTTGCCATGGTTCGAGGCTCGGGTTTCGACGTTATGCTTGATTGCAAATTAAGATATGTCCAACATAGATAGGCATGCGCGCCATTTCGATATTCTGTATTCGGAATTCAGTGAATGTTGGACATATCTAGTCCTGCGGACGAGACAGAAACAATGTTACAGAGGGAAGGCACTGCATACATGTCTAGTCACCTACAAAGTTGACCAGTACATCCCAAACCCGATGATGTGTTACAAATGTGGTAAATTTGGCCATTCTGAAATGTCATGCAAGGACGATCGTGTGTGTCTTGTTTGTGGGGAACCGAGTCATGAGGGAGAGTGCACTCCAAAGTGTATCAACTGTGGAAAGAGTGGCCACTCCTGTCAGGATAGGAGGTGTGAGATATGGGTCAAAGAGAGGGCAATATGTAGAATGAAGGTAGAACAAGACATATCCTTTGGGGAGGCGAGGAAAAAATTTGAGGATCAAGCACAGAAACAGAGTCCAAAAGCATATGCTGAGGTCCTTAAGGTACCACAGGGCTCATCCCCACAGGAGGAGGAACTGAAAACCAGGGTGGGGAAGCTTGAAAATGCAGTGACAGAGCTGGTGGGCTTGCTCAAGCAGGTTCTGGGCAAACAATTGGATCACAAATGTACAGACAATGAAACAGAACCTGCTTGTATCACTGACAGTGGTGCACAGGGTGTAGAGAGTAGTGGTGAGATCTCATGTGTAGAGACAGAGAGTGACTCTATGGAGGTTCAAAAACATGGTGATGCTGACTCAGCTGAAAGGCCAGTGACTGGATTTGACAAGGAGAGTGGGAAGTGGCAAACTGTGAGGAAGGGCAAGGGAAAGAAGGCAGGCAACATGCCTGTCCTTCCAGCACTGAATGGGGATGATGAGATTTCACCGTCTCCCGAGCTGACTCGATTCACTCGAGCCCCAGGGCGAGGTGGACGTGGTCGGCTCAAACCAATGCAGCGGGCCCAAAGTGCCTCGCGACTTCCTTCGTCCAAACAGTGTTGGCAAGACAATCCCTATCCCCCAACTCTTAGACAATAACCAGCAAAAGAATCATTTCTGTGTTTGTGTTTTTTTCCGGCAAATATCGAACAATTACTTACAGTAATTTCAGTTACCTGCGTTGGTTGCAGGTTATAGTTGGAATCCAGATTATATATAATTTTTTTCCTTATTCTGATTTGCATCTGGTGCAGGGTTTGAGTGTCTCATGTGTTATATTTGGTTTTGTGGTGGTGGTCGCTAGCTTGCCGGGCGATCCTTTTTTGGGTCGGTTCGGCGGCGGGGCTGACGAAACGGGCGTGTTTTGTCGGAGCCGGGACGGTTCGACCGGCGCCCGGGGCAGTGGGATGGGTCACGTGACCCGATGTTATCGCGAGGTCGGCCGGCCGGCCCCGGGGCACGGCGTGGGCCCGGTCCTGGGGCGCGGCATGAGCCCGACCTCGGGGCCGAGACTGAGAGCAAAGGTGACCTTGACCGTGCTGGGTGCTTTTCCATCGTCTCGTTAGTTAGAAACAGCGTTATGGTTAATAGTGTGAGAAGTTTTACCATCATGCAATGGAATGCTCGTGGAATGATTGGAAAATGGCCGGAGATTAAACCTGTACTACTGGAACATTGCAATGATGTGATTTGTATTCAAGAATCCCATTTTCTGCCCAATGACCCTTATGATTTTCGACTTAATAATTACACTCTTTATAACGCATATCCCAATACAGACAGGAGACAGGGAGGAGTTAGTATCTATGTTAACAACAAACACCCCCACTGTCAGATAAATTTGAATACTGATTTACAAGCTGTTGCGATAACAGTACCAACTGGCAGATGTCGGCTGTGTGTTTGTTCGCTGTACCTTCCGCCGAACGAGCGTCTTTCGCAGCAGGCTCTCAGTGCTCTGGTGAGTCAGCTGCCGCAACCTTTTATTATATGTACGGACGCTAACAGCCGGCATTACATGTGGGGCGCAGATCGTTGCGACTCCAGAGGATTTATATGGGAACGAGTTATTTGCCAACACGCCCTGAATATTCTGAATGATGGCAGCCCGACACGACTTGATGAATACACGGGGCTCTGGTCCCATATTGACTTGACATTGAGCACTGGTAATATAGGTCAGTACTTGCAATGGTGCACCGATACTGATCTTTATTCGAGTGACCATTGCCCTATATACATAACTTTTGATTTGACTGGATCTAACCCCCGTCGGAACGCCGATTTCACGGGATGGAACACAAACAAGGCCAACTGGTCTGAATTTACTGAGAAGTGTGACTTACAATTTTGTGAAGGATTGGGATTGGATAATTGTACAGCTATGACCGAAGCTTTACTAAAGGCGGCGGAGGAAAGTGTACCTATGAAACGAAACAACTCAAAATATACATGTCCCTGGTCAGCGGCGTATTTAGAAAATCGCGAAGGGGGGGGCCAAGGGTTTGGAGGGCGCCACCTCACCCAAGGAGGGCGCCATACGGTCGCGAGATAAAAAATCACTCAACGGGGGGGGGGGGGTTGGGAGGCGTTTTTTACCATGCCACCAGTTTTTTTTTGCGTAACCTCGTATAGGTCGTGCTGCATTGATTTTGCATCGTGTGTATTCTTTAAACTCCAGGTCACAAAAGGTCGAGTGGTCTTGAAATGCTGCGCCGAAGGCGCGCGAAATTTTTGAAAACAACCTTTTCCTCCGCTTTTTAGGCACGCCTTTTATACGATCACTGTTCAAAGCTCCTCTCGCTCTTTTACCAAATTTGAAGGTATAAAAAATACCTAAGGTTTGGTCGGGCCGCTGCCACACAAACTGTATAGAAAGCTTGGCTCATGGGTGTCGATGTATAAAAGTTTATTAGCGGTGGCATATCTACGCACCAGATCACCGTATCGGATTGATACCGGAGCGCGAGATGCGTAAACATCATCCAAATTACCTCAGACCAGCCTTCATAGCCTTCTCACAGGTGCATACAGTGTACCCACATAACCAGTTTCAATCACCGAAACTTCAGATGCCTGCTGTTGCGGCCGAACCTGTTGACAATACTTAATCGTAATACATATAGATGCCATGATGCACGTAAAGTAGGATCAATCCGTTAAGACCAAAGACGTGTTTTATGCATCGTAGAGCGTAGATAGTTTTGGTAGGTATAGGTACTTCATTCATTGTGCTGAATGCACGTTCATTTGTGGCAGTTTTCACAGGCAAGACATCAACTATGTGCAATAGAACGACTAAGTTGAAGAACATGCCAAAGGAGTAAATAAATGATAGGAGGGCAGCGATCAACGGATGTTGCCAATAGGTAGAAGGGCTGCGATCCACAGGAGGGCGCTAATAGGTAGAAGAGCCCCGATCAACATCCCGAGTTTCGACAGTAGGGCACCGATAGGTAGGAAGTTGGCGAGCAGCAGGAGGGCGCAAATGGATAGAAGGGCAGCGATCAACAGGAGGGCACCAATAGGTAGGAGGGCCCCGATCAACAATCAACAGGAGGGCGCCACCAGGTAAGAGGGTGGCGAGGAACAGGAGAGCACCAATAGGAGGGTGGCGATCAACAAGAGGTCGCCAATAGGTGGGAGGGCGGTCATCAACTGCAAGTCGCCAATGAGCGGAAGGGTGACGATTAAAATGGGCGTGGCAATGGTGAGGAGGGCGCCTTTGCTCAAGAGGATGACACGAACAGGAGGGCGTCTGTGCGGAGGGCGCTGGTCAACAGGAAGGTGCCAGTAGATAGGAAGGCGGTGATCAACAGGAGGGTGCCAGTGGTTAGGAGGGCGGCGATCAACACGAGGGCGCCAATAGGAGAAGGGCCCCGATTAGCATTCAACAGGAAGGACTAGGGAACCAATAGGTAGGAGGGCGGCACTGAACAAGAGGGTGCCAAAAGGGAGAAAGGCGGCCTTCAAAATTTCACATGAGGGCGCAATAGGTAGAAGAGCGCCAATAATTATGAGGACGCCGATCAGCAGAAGGGCGGCAATGTGTAGCAGGGTGGCGACCTACAGGAGGACGCCTTCGGGTGAGAGGGCGCTTATTTACAGGACAGCGGCTTACATAGGCGACCACCGTTACGCTTAGAGAGCTACAGCCTACAAATGTGGTTGGAGGGCGCCCGAGGGAGCCCTCCAACCGTATTTGGAGGGCGTATTTGGAATGGGCGTCCTCCGAGGGCGCCCTCCATCCGTATTTTCCCTGTAAACACATTCGCGATTGGAGGGCGCCCTCCAGTCGCGATTGTTTTTCGATTCGATTATATCACAATTGCATTTGCGATTGGAGGGCGCCTTCGGCGCCCTCCAATCGCAAAGGGCGCCTTCGGCGCCCAAGGGGGGGGCCATGGCCCAGTGGCCCCCCCCCTGCCTACGCCCCTGTCCCTGGTGGAACGAGGAATGTAAAGAAGCAATTCGTAGTCGACGACGAGCACTCAACCGGTTCCGTCGTAGCCGCCAAACTTTACACCTCATGGAGTATAAAGCTGCTAAAGCAAGGGCAAGGCGAATTATTAGACAGGCGAAACGGGAATCATGGGAGAAATTGCTCCATATGTTTAAACATACTACCCCCATGCGGCAACTATGGGACATAATACGGCGTTTTACAAAGAAGGAGCGTTACCAGCGTCCATTACCCGTGTTGTGTATCAATGGCAACATGACAGACGATCCCAAAGAAGTTGCTGACGTACTCGGGAATTTCTTCTCGGGGATGTCGGCGTCCATTAATTATAGAGCTGCGTTTAGGGAAAGAGAGAGTATTTTGTTCGAACAGCTTCCGTCGTTCGCTAGCGACAACAACGAATGCTACAATGATGTGTTCGCTTTGGACGAGTTGAAATGGTCTATTTCTCATTGTGGAAATACCTCTATTGGACCTGACAAGATACACTACATGTTTTTTAAGTTCCTAAATGACGACCAGCTGGCATCAGTTTTGAAGTTGATCAATTATATATGGTTTTCAGAATGTCTTCCAAACACTTGGAAGCATTCTATTATGGTTCCGATCCTCAAACCCGGGAAACCAAGTCACCAGCCCGAATCCTACCGGCCTATACAACTAACATCATGTTTTAGCAAGGTCATGGAAAGGATGGTTACCCGACGACTTGCGTGGTTTTTGGAAGACAAAGGATTATTATCAGCTATTCAGTGTGGGTTTCGAAAGGGGCGGAGCACAGCCGATCATCTATTACGGCTGGAGTCGAGTGTCAGGAAGGGTTTCTTTTATAACAAGTACACATTGGCCGTGTTCTTGGACTTTAAGAACGCCTATAACCTTATTTCGAAAGCGGCCCTACTGACCAAGATGCATGCACTTGGCTTCAGAGGGCGCATGATGCACTTTATACGATCTTACCTCGACAATCGAACTTTTCAAGTAAGGAACGACTGCTTATCTGACACATTCGAACAAGAAAACGGTCTAGTGCAAGGTGGTGTTATTTCTCCGGTCTTGTTTAACATTGTTATCAATGACATATTCGATGGAGTCCCTGGAAACCCAACATGTGCACTGTATGCAGACGATTGTACCATGTGGGTACAAGGAAGGAGAATTACGCAATTAATTGACCAAATGCAACTGGCTCTCGACCACGTTAGTGCATGGGCCGACAGATGGGGCTTTGTGTTTTCACCTCACAAATGCAATGCCCTTATATTCAGGAGGTATATGAAAGCTAGAGAACTTGCTACCATACCACGTTTGAGGCTTTACAACGAGCACTTGAACTACTCGGAGGAGGTCAAGTTTCTCGGGGTATTACTTGATACGAGACTGAATTTGACTAAACACATCCAATATGTGAAGGGAAAGGCCACTAAACGGATATCGATCCTTAGATGTTTGGCAGGAGGGAACTGTGGAGCGGATAGGACAATATTGTTACGAATTTACAAATCAATGATCCGACCAATACTTGATTATGCATGC